TCCACTTACCATCGCAGTCCCAAAAAAAGTCTTTGAAGGTTATAGGCAAGTTCGGGGCGAACAGAATTGCCACCCCACCCTTTGTGCCAGCAGCCAGTGCCCAGAACTGGGGGCCTCGCCACCAGGATAACTGGGCATTGACCGCCTGTCTGTCGAGTTTTGTTTCCTGTATACAAACAATTGTTGCCGCATAGTTTCTGGCTACCGTTTTGATTAATGATCTCTTATACGCCACTTGGCGCAAACCCAGTCCGCGTACGTTCCATGACATGATTTTGACTTTATCCATCCAAAAAAATTAGAGGAGGAGAGAGTTCTGACTCAGAACCATCGAAAGCAATTTACAGGGGGAAGAAAGAGGAAAGAGAAGTAAAAGAACTTAATTAAGAAGAAATGAAAAAAGGAGCAAAGATAAGAAAAAGAAAAAAGAAAGGGAATAGAGCAAAAATAAGTAACAGAAAATGCAGTTAGTTGGAGGAAAGACAATTATTCCGCCCATTTCTGCATCATGAGACCAGCAAAGCCAGATTCAAAAAGCTTGTACTGCTGCGGCATACAAAAGTTGACTTCATGTAGGATCTCTGCTGTCCACAGTCCGCCAATCTGAGTCGTTGTTGTCATCGCCCCAGCTTGGTCGTCCAATCTGGTTCCAACTTGCATGCCCGGTGCTTGTCCCTCTGTGTGTTGCTCTGTGGGTACATCTCCTCATGGCCCAATGGGCGGCTGAGTCGATCCTTGCCCTCCAGCTGCAGGTATCGCTCCTTCAGATCCTGTTGTCCCAGAGGAGGTTCCGTCTCCCCTCCCACTGTTCTCCCCTCCTCGACCATCACCCCCTTGTCCCCCCACACCTCTCCCACCGTCACCCCCTTCCCCTCCTCCCCCCCTTCCTCCTCCCCTACCACCACCAGTACCACTACCACCAGTACCTCCCCTGCGGTAGGGAGATATTTTATCTCCTCTGATCATCCTGGCTTCATCCATGTGAGTCTTGGAGCGTTTCTCCTGTCTTTTCTTAGCTTCCCGTGCAGCGCTCATCTCAGTGTCTTTGATAGCTGTCCGAGTGTCTTCCTGAGTAGCCTCCTTCCCTTTTTGTATGATGCTAGGCCATTCCTCAGGGGGAACGTCAGCAAGACATCTTCCTTTCACTGAGGAATGGCCATACCATTTATGAACTTCACACCAGGGGGTGTCTTGGGTAACGACATCCAGTGTGAGAAGGCCTTCAGTGGTATAGACGCTTATGGTCGGCTGGATTTTTGATCGAGCAGAGAGCTCAAGGTCATATCTACAGTTGACTAGTCGAGGCTCGTTTTTCCTTTTCTCCAACGACTGAGCTTTGATTACTCTACCATAATGAGTCTCTATTGCTCCTTGCAAGGAGGAGAGAGCCAGATAGGGGATTTTCAATACCCTAATCCAGAATCTCCCCTCCTGAGCCGATTGTCTGTCTTTTTGCGATTCCTAGGAGTCAACCAAGGTCTAAACCTAACTTTATATTCTCCTGTTTGCCATCTGATGAGGCTCTCTCCTTGATCGTTGATCAACCAGTCTCGCAACGGCTGAGTTGGAGCAAGATATGATATGACAGACGCTCCCTCAGGTTTGACTCTCCCATATCGGCCCCCAGTCAGCGATTCATCCCATTTCGCCTCCGCTCTACGAATCCAATCCTCCTYCTCCTGAAAAGTCATATCTGGCCCACACTCYGTGAAGAGAACCATCACGCCGTGTTTCTTGAGATAATCTATGTGTATCTTCTCATACTTAGGATCCAGGCGGACTTCCAGTGTTCTGGTCTCTTCATTTATCGCAGTTTTTGYATATTTTTTGGSGAGCGTGGGATCCTCTTCTCCAGTCAAGTAGCAGTTGGATACCATTTTCTGAAGTTCACGCTCGTCAGCCTTCGAGAGGGTGTGGGATTGGGCCTGGGATTGCTCATCGTCAGTTGACATGTCGTCAGGAAATGAAAAGGAATATCGGATGTCGCTCTAATCTGAAACTTTGGGATCCCGTAGATTAGGTCGAGATCTTTTCAGGAAAAATATCAAAAAATGAAAAAAAAGTGTTGAGATAGTGAAATAATTGACGCGCCGAATGGGGACATTTTCCATTTTTGCCACTCGGCCACCTATGGGCCAACGGACAAGTGCCCGTGTGTGTGTCGTACGGAAAGGTACGCAGCCGGGTTTTTCCCTCTTGTTGCGTTGG